AAATATATTCTTGGGCAGAATAGCATCACTGTCTTGCAAGTTAACTTGCTGTAATTTACCCATGTCTTTAGATAAAATGAAAGCAAATTTTAACACAAAAATGCCCTTTTTAAAGAAATAAAACTAACTTTTGAAAACATACCATTTTCTTCCAAAAATGTTCAATCCATTCACAATTTCTTGCCTGTTTCTTCTTAACTTGTCATTCATTTCTATGATCTAAATTACAAAACATAATTAAAATGCCTGAGAAAGTTCTTAAAAATCAAATAAGTTCAACATTAAAGATAATTTTAAATCCGCCAGCCATTACTTCGTCTTGTTAAGGATCTGGAGGTAAATGTTATCTAGAAAATTATATTTAAATATTTAAGCCCTTTATAAATAAAACTTTCATATAAGGAATAACTAGAAACTCTAGGTTGGTTTCTAAAAGGCCCCAGATACGAGCATAGATTAAAATTTAAACACCTGACTTAATAATTTTTTTAAAAAGATATTGAATGATCTTCCTAGTCTGTAAGGAATTCAAAAGGATTCGCTGAAATCCTACTGACTTCTTAGTGTAGAAAGGAAAGGCAAACGACCCTCCATTCTTCCAGTAATCTGTTATCACCATAAATTAGCCAAACGGAGACTTCTTTTCCACTTTATTATGGCATCATCCCAGAGAATCTACACTGAAAATCCCCACAAAGCTATGAGGGCCTCAAAAATTGTCAAATACTCTCTAGATTATTTGTCACCACAGAGCCTTTACCTCTTTTTGTTTGGATCACTCACATTGTCTCAGTTCTCAAGTAGCCTGCTAACCTGCTCTATCTGCTTTTAATTTGGATAAAGTGTTCTGTATCTTATCATGTACCTCTCTGCTTAAAAATTTTAATGGTTTCCCACAGTCCTTACGATAAAATTTCCCAAATCCTTAGAGGCCTATGAGACCGTTTATAATCAAGGTACTGCCTATCCCTCTAATCCAATCTCCATTTACTCCTCAAGAATCAGTGATGCAGAATTCCTTGCACTCACCAATGCACTGGCACATGCTGTTCCCCCTGCCTGAAATACCCTTCTTTTCTTTCTTCTCCCAGATAATTCCTTTCAACCTTAAGACTCACTAGTTTAATAATTTCTTCCATAGGTTTCTCCAAGTGGGGAGCGGGTGCCCCCTCCACGCTTCCATAGTACATACTACCTATTCTCATAACACTTATCATATTACATTGCAATAATTTTACCCTCTAGAGGCTAAGGAATGTTCTCTTTGTATTCTGTGTTCACCACTGAGTGTGACACTCAATAGATGTCTACAAAAAATGAATATACGACTAAAGTAGAGATGGTGGAGTTTGTTATAGTGATTTCAAGTCCAATTTGAGTAGGGTGGAAGAAATCTACTCCACCCCCCCCCACTGATTAAAAGATTTTATGGATAAAGTGGGCTAGTTAAGAGGCATTTAAATATGGTCAACAGTAATGTAGTGATAATTAACTAAAGAGGTCATTCCAGTTCCTGCTAATGAATATTCAAGAAAAAATAGGAAGAAACAAACTTACAGAATGTTAGAAATGATTGTACATGAGGTGTCAAGTTCAGCATCTTTATTGCAGAGATGAAAAAGTACAGGCTAAAAGAAATGGACTTGAGATTGTTAGGGGAACTTTAATATGGAACAGGGCAGTGGTTCTCCAAGTGTGGCTCAAATGTGATAACCACTGAGACAGGATTTTAAAAATTAGAGAAAGGACCTTTACATTAATTTGTAGTGGTTTAAGCAGAAATAAAAAGTGTGATAATAATAAGCAAGAAGAGAAAATAATCTCAAGGCAGCAGAGGTGAGGTTCAGCAGTGTGTGTGTTGCTAGCATTACTGGAAACATTGAAGAAGGGTTTTTTTCTTTGTTTTTTTTAAATAACAGCTTTTTTTTTTTTTTTTGAGGCAGATTGGCTCTGCACTAACATATGTTGCCAATCTTCCTCTTTTTCTTTTTTTTTCCCCCAGAGCCCCAGTACATAGTTGTGTATCATAGCTGTAGAGTTGGAGCTCTTCTGTGTGGGGACGCTGCCTAAGCATGGCCTGATGAGCAGTGAGTAGGTCCCAGCCCAGGATCCCAACCAGCGAACCTCAGCACCTCCAAAGCAGAACTGGCGAACTTAACCGCTCTGCCACCAGGCCTGCCCACACAGGTTTTGAAGATTAAAACTTTTTCAAGTTTAGGTGACATCAACCAAAACATCTAGAATAAGGTAACAGTTAACTCTTAATTCTTCATGCTTATGAAAGAAAGTAGTTAAGAATCTCAAGTCATTTTTCATTTCGCAGTAAAATTTATGATTTTTCTTTCAGTACTTACCACCTTTGTTTTACCAACATCCGAAGTCGAACTAGTAGAGTACTAGATCAGCTGTGGGCAATGAGGCAAATCATTTAATTATTCTGGGTTCCATTTTCTCATCCGTAAAACTGGTTGGATTAGATCACCTCGAAGATTCTTTTTAGCAATTATGAAGCCATGAACACTGGTTTGCCTGAATCAATCTAGAATGCCCCCAAAAAGTCTAGTTCATTTAAATACCTTAATATCATTAATGGTATTTAATTTGCTCGGCAACTTTGGTTTTTAAGTTAGTAGGTCAACATTTGGGTGCCCAATAAATAGCTCATCTTTACATTTTTAGTTAAGAAATGTAGATTGCGGTGGGATGGATTGCAATTCTTGAGCTACAAAATCTGGATAATATCACCCGAGAATGAAACAGCCAATGAACATAACAAAAATCTGCCCACCTGAATCCAGGCCTAACATTTTTCAGTACGTTAAATATCTGAAACCTTGTAGGCATCGCTGGACCTCGCATGGCTAGCCTCAAAGCAAGAGGTCCATCCAAGAGGCGCCTGCAGGCCTCACCTCCGCACGGCTTGGGCGTCACTCCGTGCTGCAGCCGAAGCTGGGATCCCAAACGAGGCCCTTGGGTCTCAAGAGTAGTTTGGGAGATTGACACCTTCAGAGTCCTCCCTCTCTCTCCTCGGCCAACTCCCAACCGAGAAAAATGGGCAATTTGGGGGTGAGGCTTTCCTTTCCCTCCAGATCTCTTCGCCTCCCCCTTAACCCCCCGCGCCAGCCTCCCAAACTGCAGCGGCCGTTACCTCCATCCTGGGAGCCAGGGCTTCGCAGTCTCTCCCGCCTGCTCCAGCCACTTCGTCCCACGGGGCCGCTGCTGCCGCAAAGGCTTGTGGGGCATGGGCGGGCGGCCGAGGGCAGCGCACCGGGCGGGGCTCCCGCGGCCACTTCAGGAGCCAGGAGGCGGGCCCTCAACCGAACCAGCCCTGACCCCGCCCACCAGGCTCTATTAGAAAAACGTCGCACCCGAAGTTGATCTGGCATTCCCGAGAGTGGCGTCAGGTAGTGTCTCAAATACTTTTTTTCCCCCAATATTTACGTTGACCATAATGACCTTTAGGGCCTATTTTTCAAGGCAGGCAGTACAACAGCGGTAAAGAACACAAGCTGTGGGATTACAGTCTCAATAGTAGCTACGATGCTAAATTTGTTGCAAAGATTAAATCAGACTGTACCAGGTAAGAGCATAGTGTATCTAGCAAATAAGTGGTAAATATCTGCCATCATTACATTACTACTAACCTGATTTGGCAGAATCCAGGACTGGAAAGAAAAAGCAAAATAAGTTTATTCATCTAAGAAGCTGTTGTAGGACCTTCTACAACAACAGACTATATCAGCTAGAAAATGAGTCTAAAATTTTGCTTAGGGCAGGTACAAATGTGTGATGCAAATTTCATCAATCCAGATATCTCTGTGACCTCCTCTTTTCTCAATTTACCCAGTAAATTAAAAAGCATTACTCCCAGAAAGGCATCCTAGAGAGGGGCCCCAAATTTTTAAAGGGGATAATGGAAAAAAATAGTATTTGGGTTATGGAAATTGGGTTATAGAAACAGGACCATGTTGGCAGCAGAAAAAGCCCAGCTACAGGTAGAATTTCAGGTATCACAATTTGTACCTCTTAAAACAATCGTCTTAGGAATTTAAAAATTCTCCTTGAGAATTAAGGGAAATGGTGTGAACGAGAAGACACTGTATCAATTATAACACATCTTTATACGATAAATATATTCATTAAAATCATGTTTCAACTTTTTGTACATTATTTTGGTGCACTGTGGGATCTGGTTTTTGAAAGGACACATACACAATGAATAATCTTAACCTACATTTTCTGTTAAAAATCTGAATCTTCCCACGTTCTCTGACAAATTTTGAGACCAAAGTCCAATAATTTCCATATAAGAGCCAGCAACTTCTAAACTGTACCCCCAAAATAGAGGTAAACGGCAGGATCTTCAAAGCTATGTTCTTTCTTCTTCCTCTGAATTTCATTTTCTCTTGCTCCCACTCCGTGTCTCTCTATCCTACTTTAAAGGAGATTGACAACTTACATCACATATGCCAGGTGGGTCTGTGTGATTTCTTTCTGCACAGGACTGACCCAGTGTATTAGTCAGCTAAATAGGCTGCTATTAACAAAATACTATAGACTGGTGGCTTAAAAGCACAACAGACATTTACTTTCTTACAGTTCTGCAGGCTAGAAGTTGAAGATCAAGGTGTCAGCACGGTTGGTTTCTGGTGAGAGCTCTATCCCCGGATTATATAGGGCCACCTTCTCTCTGTATCCTCACGATAGGTGGTGGGAGAAAAGGAGAGAGTACAAGCAAACTCTCTGGTGTCTCTTCTTATAATAGCACTAATCACACCATGAGGGCCCCACCCTCATGACTTCATCTAAACCTAATTACCTCCCCAAAGGCACTATTTCTAGATACCATCACATTAGGGGTTCGGGCTTAAACATATAAATTTGGGGACAGAATTCAGTTTATAGCACCTAGTAAATCAACTACCCAAGAATACTAGATATTTTCCAATTTGGAGTTTACAATTAATAATTATTACGAAGGCTGGTTCTTGAGAATAAAATGAACTAATAGTCTATATTAGTTTATTTAAGTTTTCTACAGTTTTTAAAATTGTTTTCAATATACAAACAAGCCAGTGAATCCTCACTTATAAAATAACCATTTAACACATGATAGTACAAAGATGGCTTAAAAACTTACTCATATTATTTTATGACCAAATCAATTTCAATAGTAACAAATTTTCTTAAACATATTTAATCATGTAGCTTCTGGAAGATGGGTTAAATGATGAAAAAATGGGCGACCATGAACACACTCTTTAATTTCATTTCCAAATTGGTGCTTCATTCTGTAGATAATGTCTTGGATGTCCTCTTTTGATAAGTACATGGGTAACTGTCTAGATAGACGCACTGCCTCTCCCTGTGAAGAGAAAGCCATACATTTTACCATGATATACCCTGAAGCAGAAAACATGTTATTCCTGGCAACAAGGAAAACAGAAAATTGATTACATTCTTTTTATTATTCATTCACTCAACAAATATTTATTAAGCACCAATTATATGCTAGTCACTATTGTAGGTTCCAGGAATACAGTGGAGAACAAGACAAACAAGATCCTTGCTCTTGTGAAATTTACATTCTAGTACAGAGAAACAGAAAACAGATAAAAAGACAAAATTTCAGTGACTAATAATGCACAAAATTAAAATGGACAACATGCTAGAGAGTGATTGTGTGGTTAGGAAAAGCTTCCTCGAGGTGACGTTTAAGCTTCAATTTAAATAAAGAACCATGATGCAAAAATCACGGGGAAACAAAAGCATTTCAGGTAGAGGGAACGGAAGGAATCAAATTGTCAGTGTGGGTGCAGCAGTTACTACAAGGGGAGAGGAACAAGGAAGAGAATTAGGCAGGGGTCAGATCACCCCTTAGGACAGAATGAGCAATTTGGGTTTTAATCTGAACGCACAGGGAAGTAACCAGAGAGTTTTTAAGCAAGACCCTGACATTTGTTTCACACTTTAAAACAATCAGTCTGGCTGCTGTGTGAAGTATGGTTTGAAGCAGATCAAGAAGAGAAGCAGAGAGTCTTACAGGCCATCACTGTAGTCGTGGTGAGAGTTTTTGACTTGGCTGATAGTACTGGAGATAGGGGGAGGTATAAGACTTCTGACATGAGTCAAAACTTGCTGATGGACTGGTTATGAGGGATGCAGAATCAAGGATAATGTCCACATTTTTGGTATGGTAATGCTGTTTTCTGAGATAGGGAAAACTGAGAGTTTGGTGGTAAAATAGTATTAGCAAAGCTGGCTTCTTGTAGGATATACTTTAAAAGAATTGTTGTATTTCAAAGATCTTGAATCCTAACATGATTCTCTCTAACCACACACCCTCTCCCATTCTCTTTCCAACCATCCTACTCCTTTATTCCAACTAAACCTATTCTTTTTCTTCACTCTGACCTTTAATCTCCTCCATCTCTCCTTATTCTCTTGGCCCACCAGCACCCTTCTGTCATCTTTCCCTACTTAAGGTACGAATAGTGAGCAAGACATTAAGGATACTATTTCTAGCTTCCTGCATTCCTTTTAGATTCCCACTAGAATCTAAGGGCAGATTCCTACTAGAATCTAATTCATCTTTATATCCCTGAGACCTAACACTGTTTCTTGCATATATAATGTGTTCAAATTTTCTCACTCACCCTCCTTTTCTTCCACCATATTCATCTTGCTAATCTTACCCTTGGATAAATTTTACCCAGCACTGTTGGAGAATCACAAAACTGTGCTGGCTGGATCCAATACTAGTGTTAGCTCTTATGAGTCCTCAATGCCATTTGGACATCTTCTATAATCAACCTTCTCTTACAGTACCTACAGCTCTTATTTTCAGACCTTTTCCATTATACTCAAATCCCCAATGCCTCCCAGCCTCTTCACTTTAGCAGATAACTTCTCCTACTCCTTTACCACATATATCATACGTGACTTCTCTCGTTTACCTCAAAATATTCTTACTTTCACTTTCCCTCCTCTCTTCTGCTCTCGATTGAAAGAATGGTTTCTCCTTTCTAAAGCTTATATCGTTATCCCATCTTCCTTCTTGCCTCTTTCGGAACATCTGCTCTCCAATCATTTATTGTCAATCTTTTCCATCAAATTCAATACATACATGCTAATCTCTCCTTTCCGCCTTACACCACCATGTGACTTGCTGCCTACACTTTTCCACCACTTTCCCACGCTTTGATCATTGGCAAATGTCTTCGTCCTTACTACTTTTCCATTACAGCTCTCTTCAAGGTTATCACTGCCATCTAGCAGCCACACCAGATGGTCTTCTAGCAACTATTACCCTATAGAGGATGTAATACTACTTATTTTTAAATTTCTTTCCTCCTTTGACTTTTATATCCACCTCTCTCGGTTCTTCTTTTACTCTCCTATCTTTATCTCTGATTCATCTTATTCAGCTTGACCTTAAATGGAAGCATTCCAGTGGTTCTCACAGAAGTTCTCTTTTTTCCCTAGACTATCTTCCTTAATAATCACATCCACTATTGCCTTAATGTAATGAGAAGTATAACATTAGTAAAAATATTTATATCTAATACCAACCACTTTTTTCTGTTATTTCTGAAATCTTATTTCTTTCCACATGGTTCTTCAATACACAAAACACTACCCACAACTCCCTCAACCTTTAAATTTATACTAAGTCTTTCACAAGAAAATATTCCTTTGAAGTCCCTAAAAACTATCAGTGTTGAATTGCCCCCCACAACAGGCTGGGAAGTTCCACAAGACAAAGCTCTTGAAGGACTCACAGAATGCTGCTGAATACCATCTTCAGAAAGGGTAAAAAGTAGACTTTCCTGTTGAGGAATTCTGACCCTCAGAATGCAACGGGCATGCCATAATTATAGTCTAAACAAAAATGGCTCATTTTTTTTTAAAAGGGAGAAAATAAACTTTATTAAAGTTCAGGTTTGTTTTCAAAATAATACCAGTCCACCTTGAGGGAGAGTACCTCAAATATAGAGACAATCACTGTTGTTTTCCAACCATTGTCCTATACTTGGACATTTAAAAGTTTGCAATCTTCCTCCATCCTCTAATATTATTGAATTTACTATTTTAACCCACTGTTACATTTCTCATTTGTGGTAAATATTGCTAGAAAACTAAAATTTCCATTTATTCAATAATCAACATCTTTCACTTTCCTTCCCCTCTTTTGCACTAGAAGAGATCAGGGCTTAAAATCACATTATAGTTCTTTTTAGACAAGTATTTGATATAAAAGTGGAGCAATTGTGAATCCTTCTCAAACAAAAAGAAACAAAAGAACTTCACTACAAAGTGTCTCATGCATAAGGCTCTTCTTCAATGTGTACTCAAGAAATAATGGTATAGTAAGGATCCATGATAGAGTTTATCACAACCAGTCTATGATGTAAAACTTTTAATGGATTTTTCTTTTTTTAACAATATTTCCTCTTGCAGACAGATAATAAATCTTATAGAAACTTTACTATTTTGAAACCGTTAACTATTTTATTAAGGAAGAGTTAAGTATCTTAAAACTTAGCCAACCTACATAATCTAATAATGCATACCTCTAAATAACTTATCACTTTGCGAGGTCTACATTCATAAACTTCCTTGGCATTTTTGTTTAATATAGCATTAAGAATTTCTTTTAAATCCATCACTCCGTAGAATGGGAGACAATTAGCCATTCCTTCTATTTCCAAGTAGTTTTCAGCAACAGAAATTCCTAAAATAAAAAAATAATAAAACCACATATAGATATAGTTAGTTTGGCTTTGTTTGAATTATATTCCAGAAAATGTCTATTAAAAACAAAATCACCGTTAAAACATTTAGTGAACCTTCATTAGAATTTAATATAGTCCGGACAAAGTTTTGTTCCTTAGTTGGAGAACAAATAATAACCTCCCATAGGATTTCACATTCACATTAAGTCATAAGTGCTCATAGACAACACGTGCTTTATATCATTTAATTTAATCTCAGTTATTGCTGTTCTGTTCCCTACATTTGTTTAGAACATTTCTTACTTTGGAGAGAAAAATGGAATCCCATGATATTTATTAAAATAAAACTGGTTTAAGTGTTTTAACAACTGATGCTGTACAAATTCTATCCTTCTGGTTTAATATCTAACTTAAAGGCCTGAATTATTTCTATGATTATTTTAACTTACAAATTATAAAAATACTCACATAGTAACTACTTATTTTTTCCAGCTTTATTGAGATATGATTGTTATGTAACACTGTGTAAGTTTAAGGTGTACAAAGTGTTGATTTGATACACATATATTGCAAAATGATTACTGCCACAGTAACTTATTAATGTATTAGTAATTTGAGGAAACAAAATACTAATGTTTATTCAAAATGTTTTACTAGAACAATGTTTAAAACTGATATATTATCTATTATTTAAACTACTTTAATGATTAAGAATAAAACTAAAACTAGCTATATGACTAGATATATAATGGGGTAAAATATCTATAACAATATACATTCTGAAGCATCAAATTTGGCTTTAGAATGCATTTTATGATTTTGGAAAATAGCAAAGATTTGCCTTCTTTGACTATATCTGTGTAACAGTGTTCTTAATATTGAAGTCCACACAATGTTACCTAGAAGTAAAGAGAATGAGACAGTCCAATGTTGGATAAGTGATAGCTATCAACAGATGAATTAAAAAAGAGGAGTCATGTAGCTTGGAGAATTTCAGATCTCGAGATGTCAATGATCCTATTCCTAACCTGTTCCCAATTACAAACTAGTTCCTTAACCTGGGTGGCAGATGCAATGGTGTTACACTAAACAGAGCAGGCATCCTAATGTTCTTCCCAGGAAACAATTGGAGAATAATATAAGTAGATATATAATCAGGCATTAAGGGATAAAATATAGAGTTCAGTGAAGGGAGATAAAATGAGAGTCTGAGCAACCAGGGGAACTTAAATGGGACTTAAAATAGGGTTTAGATAGGCAAAGAGGAAGTAGCAGAATATTCTAATTCACATCTTTACATATGAAAATTTACAAAAATATCAAGTCAAGAGACTTCACTAGTGCTGGTTCTATACCTTTCATAGTATGATTAGATAGAAAAGTCTAATACTAACTACCTTTGCCCTGGAAAATTATACATATTTCAGAAAATTACTTGTGGGTATGGGCAAAAAGTATCTGGCAGCAGATGAAGAAATTTGAGTAATATTTTAATCTCTGTATTTGCAAAATTCAGATATGGAAAACTCAGAGACATCTGAAACCATATAACAATAAACTTGCAGTTTCCATAAAATTCTGTGAAATGCTTCCCAGTTGTCAGGGAAAATACTTCAAATGAATAAGCGGTTTGACAAGTTTTCACTTCTTAAAATATGGAATTCTTACTGACCCAGAACAAAAAGCTATTTCCCATTAACAGGCAAAGTTCTTAGGGTCACATTCTGTCTTTTCCCTCAAAGCCAGATGTATTCTTCCTCTCTTTCAAATGCCTTATCTTTATCCAAAGATGTTTTGTGACAACTAGCAAACTGTTGATCCAAAGTTAGTCCAATACAACAAAACTCTCAGTAAAAGAAAGAGAAATGGTCTTTAAGAAAACATGACCTGAAAATTAATGAAAGAAAAAAAAGGCTAAAAAAAATGAAGAGAGAAAACATGAATGTTTTGAACTTGATATGTTATTGACAAGAGAAATAATGCTGATGATAATCTAAGTAAAGTTAATTCCAGTCAAGTCAGTTTGTAGATGATTGTCTTATTCATTTTTACATCTCTGGTGCCATGCAAAGTACCTGGTATTCAGTAGGACTTAAAAAACACTATCTAGGGGCCGGCCCAGTGGTGCAAGCGGTTAAGTGCACGCGCTCCGCTGCATCGGCCCGGGGTTCGCTGGTTCGGATCCCAGGTGCACGCTGACACACCACTTGTTAAGCCATGCTGTGGAGGCGTCCCATATAAAGTAGAGGAAGATGGGCACGGATGTTAGCCCAGGGCCAGTCTTCCTTAGCAAAAAAGAGGAGGATTGGCATCGAATGTTAGCTCAGGGCTGGTCTTCCTCACAAAAAAAACATAAAAACAAAAAAACACTATCTACAAGCTAAGAGCTGAAAGCATCTGTCAGACAGAAACTTACTGGGTAGCTCAAAAATAAACACGCTCTTGGAACAGACAGGGTAGTTATCCTAACCTTTAAAACAAATTGCTGTGATAATATCTTTCATGAAAAAATGGCACCTGCCACTAACGCCACATTGTTAATTAGAAAAACAGATTAAGTCAAGAAAAAAATATTCTGCTATACACACACACACACACACACACACACACACCCTTCTTGCTTCACACTTCAAATAAATTAAAAAGATGCCAGGGGCCCTAAAGAAGAAAGATTTCTAGGAGGACTAAAAGAAATGACTTTAAGTCAGTTCAGGACAGAAAGGGGGGTTAGAGGATGGGAAGAAAAGAGACTATTTGAACACCTACCATTGTCAAGTACTATGCTGATTGATTTATATAAGTATCTTGGGTAGTGCTCACAACTACTTCATGAAGTAGATACAGATACCTCAGTTTTAATAGGGAAGCAATATAACAATCTAAAGGCAGATTACTTGGGTTCAAATCCTGGTACTACCACTAACTGTGTACCCTTAAGCAAACTTAACTTCTCTGTGCCTCGATTTTTCCATCTATAAAATGGGACAGTAATAGGACCTACTTCATAGGGCTATTAGGAAGAGTAAATGAATTAATACATTTAATACTTATAAGAGTGCTCTGCACATAATAATTATTCAATAATTATTAAAGTTATTATGATGAGGAAACACTGAGGCCAACTGACTTTCCCAAGAACACACTGGTTTTAAATGGCAGAGTTGGGATTGGACTCTCTTCACTCCAAATCTAAATATCCATGATTGAGATAGGAGGAAAGCAGTTTAGGGTAGTTATCCTTAAAACTGCAAAAGTCAAGTAAAATTAGTTAAACTTTGGAACACCAAAGCATTTTCTGCATATACCTAATATCACGGTTTTGGACATTGTTTTTACTTATTTTCATGTGTTAGTAAAACATTCCTTTAAAAACCTTCAACATTCTTTTTCTACATTTTGGTCCTGACAAATTTAGGGGCAGGCAGGACAGTGGAATCACTCTTCATGGTGCCTTTGTCTCCTTGATGCCAGATGAAGGGAAAGTAATAAGTCAAGACCAGCCTAGGAAGCTAGGGAAGAAGGTAGTTGAGTATGGAAACTATGAAAGAGCAGAGAAGGGGCCACTAGAAAAACTGAAGTCTGCCAGCTAGATGGAATTTTTTTCTCCTAATGAATTTCCGTACTAAGCAAACAGCGTTATCAGTCTTTTTAGCAAAGCCATGGAAATCAAATCATCCATTCTACAAACCGTTAAGACTGCTGATGTTACACATCTAATTGGCAAAACAAGTAAATGCTTTTAAAAAAGGAAAGGAGACAGAGATTGGATTGGTGGTTACCAGAGGGGAAGGGGGAAGGGAGGAGGGCGAAAGGGATAATTCGGCACATGTGTGTGCTGATGGGTTGTAATTAGTATTTGGGTGGTGAACATGATGTAATCTATGCAGAAATAGAATTATAATGATGTACACCTGAAATTTATACAATGTTATAAACCAATGTTACTACAATAAACAAAAAATTAAAAAAAAAAAAAAAAAAAAAAAAGGAAAGGCGATATCCATTTTGTTAGGCCATTCCAGTATCCTACATATTTATTTTTGTTTCATTATCTAAAGGAGTATTTAATCATTCAGTTAAACAAAGCAGGCAGTTTGAATATTGTGACAAAGGATGGCAAAAATTACAAAGAAACTACTTGATTAGTTATGAAAATGCAAATTCAAGGCAATCGACTGAAAGAGATGCCAAACTTGCTTGTTTCAGGCAGAGGTGACCTTTCTGAAATATGACTGTTTAACTGACACTGTACTTTTGGTGAGACAAAAGTATACAATGATATCTGTAAATTATGAAATCCAAATGTAACTCTTGGAACAAGACTTATTTTTCCAAGTCAGGAAATATTAAACCACATTATCATACCTGGTATCAATTTTATCTTGAAACCATTTGCTGTAAGACGAGGATCGCACAGGTAAGTTGATCCACTGTATCTTTGATCATCTGCTGTCATTTTATATAAAATCTCTAAATAATGAGATCCATTAAAAAGACTGAAAAAGAAATTATGGCCCTTTAACTTATTAAATATGTAAAATGAAATAAGAGGATTTATGGAAAAAAGTTAATCCAAAGGCCCTTTAAAAAGTGTTATTATCAGTATCCAAAATACAAAGGTATAAGTAGCCCTGTGAGAAGCTTTACTTTTTTACATTCCTGTTAATATTTTATAGACGACCTACTACATACAGAGTACAGAAAGGAAGAAGAATAGACATAAAAGACTGTTTCTATCTTCTAGGATGTTACAAACTAAATGTGAAATCAAAAAATGTGCTCTCCATATATAATACGAATGAAAACTTTATAAATAATACCATTTTATACCTTAAGCAGACGCAATAATACATAAGTTACTCAAGTGGTCCATCCTACGTAATTTTCAATTGCTAATCAAGGTTTCTGCAATAATAAAAAGATAAGCGTGTATCTTTTCTCCCAGGACCTTAAATATTTAGTAACTTAGAGCTTGAGAGAGCTTCCTTCAGTCTACTGTAGGCATAGCACGTTTGCCAAAGGTGGCATATGAAATGGTTCAGAGTGGTGCAGGCCCTAAAGAAAATTTTGAGGTAGCCAAAGATTATCTAGGGCACAAATTAACCTTTCATGTTGGTTTTAGGTTTGGTTGGGATGCTCCCTAACATGTTACTACAATAAGGTGTCTGTTGGGATTGAGATGTGAGTGGTTACCATTTTCCCATTCAAATATTCAATGAATATTTGAGTGCCTACCATGCGGTAGATACTATCTTACGTATGCAAGGTACTGTTCTATGTTCCAGTGCAGGATGATAAGCTGCAGTTTGTTTATTACCATCCTGCACCCCCTGAAAAAGTAAATGAACAGATGATGTCTTTGCTTATCACCTTGGAAAGGCTGAGGATCTCACTGGCTGTGAGGGAAGAGAGGAGAACTTTGGCTGTATATTAGATGTGCTCTGTCTGGTCTAACCAATGTTCAGAAAATCAATTTGAGACCCAGTGGTGATGGTGATAACAATATAGTATAGCAGTGAATGGTGCAGGCTCTACAGTTACTGTCTAGACTAGAATCTCGGATCCACCGCTTATTTATGGGCTATATTAGCCTTGGTAAGTTACTTAACAGTTTTGTGTTTCAGTTTCCTCATCTATAAAATGTGGATAATGATAGTGCCTACCTTTCATAAGGTTGTAAAGATAAGATCATGAAAGCAAAGGGCTTAATAAAGTTCCTGTCATATAATAAGTGCTCAATAAACACTAGCCATTGTTGTTCTTATATTGAGATCTTACTTGTATTTTATAGATATCTAAATTATTCCATTCAGACATAAGCTATACAACCCACATTAGAACTCTGGTGAGAAAACAGGTCAAACCCGTAATTATCCTGTCCATGACTGAGTTTTGAAAAACTTACATTACTAATTGTGATGGTGATGTCACATTTCAGAAGAAAGTGAAAATTTTGAAATAAGCTTTGTTGCTGCCCATGTTCAAATAAGAATGATTTATTTTTACGCTAGTATGGGCCCAAAATAATAGTTTTTAATGTATTTGTTTTTGAATAACAAAATATCACAAAGAAAAATATTTTTAAAAACTCATAATTTGTACAAGCAGAAAGATTTTTGAGATCTAAATGAAAGTTTACAAATACCATTTAGAAAAACAATCAAGTTTAAAATTTCAGATAGCTCTTTTTAAAAAAAGAAAAAATATTATCAGATTTTGAACTGTTTTAACATAGCCTAAGGCTATATTAATTCTTTTCCTAATTCTTCTTTTCGACAGTTTCCAAGGCCAATCTTAAGAGAATACTATGAAAGATGCTGGATTTTGGTTAATGTGTTACTGTTGCCTTAATTATAAAAGAAGGCTTTAACAAATGTTTTTCTGTATCCTAGCCCTATTTTTTCCTTCTGATGGCAGAGTCTTTAACACAAGAGTTTTAATACATTTGATAAATGATTTTTGATTTATTCTTGGAAGTTCTGAAACAGAGTTATCTAGTGACATGTCCTAGTGAACAAATTTTCATTATCTTTCTAATTTCAGGTTTCTTTTTATTTATTTTGTGTGTGTGTGTGTGTGTGTGTGAGGAAGATTAGCCCTGGGCTAACATCCATGCCCATCTTCCTCTACTTTATATGGGATGCCGCCACTGCATGGCTTGACAAGGGGTGTGTTGGTCCGTGCCTGGGATCTGAACCTGCAAACCCCAGGCCACCAAAGCAGAGTGTGCAAACTTAACCGCTACACCACCAGGCTGGCCCCCTAATTTCAGGTTTTTAATCTCCTTTGTTGTACATGTGATTCTCTTCTACCTGTGTCAGATAAAAAAGAAATATTAGTATAAAAAGGGGAAATGTTAATACGTTATTCAGTTATTCATTTTTACAGAAAACGATTTCCTCGCATAGGATATGAAAAGGAAATACTCCATTTTACAATCTATAATAAAATTAGTTCAGGCAACAATCATTAATGGATGATACCATTAGATGGAAAGGTTAATAGGGAACTTTAAGGTGGAAGACCATGCTGTCAGCAGCTGAACACAGTGCTAAGTGCCTTTTGATGTGATGAAATATGAAGTACATGGCACCACCTATTAAGCAGTCTTACAGGAAAGTAGAGTCTAAATCTATTCAATCCTCCTGAGCTAACTCCCATTTAAATATGGGAGAGGGAAAAACAAGTTAAACAACACCACAGGAAGCAGACAAATCAAGACAACAGGACATTCCAATGAACAAGTGACTCAGTATCAAAAATAAGTTAATGGTGTGATATTAGAAGAGATTTAAGAGACATAAGAAAATATAATGGCTGGACCTTGTTTAGATACAAATTAAATTTAAAAAATTTTAAATTATAAAAAAGACATTTTGAAACAATGAGGAACAATTCCAAGAAATTATTATTGTGTAAGCTACGAAAAAGGCATTGTAGTTAGGTAAGAAAATAGCCATTTTTGAGAGAGATATACTGAAAGGTGTAGGGGTGGGAACTGTTATAAAATATTTTAGCAAAGGAAAGAAAATATATGTGTGTGTGTGTGTGTGTATAAAAGGACAGAAAGGGCAAATGTGGCAAATTTGATAATTGTTGATAAAGGCATTCATTGCATATTTCTATTTTGGTGTACGTTTGAAATGTTAAAACAAAGAGTGAGCAATGAAACAGAGTCATGGCAGGCTAACTCCAAAATTACCATAGGGAAGTCACTAATGTACAGGAGGAGAATTGAGCTTGATACTTATTAACTGCAGAAGTAAGCTGTCTAGAATATTCTAAATTTATTCATTTAAAAGCAATGAATTCCACTGAAGATTAGCAATGAAGTTTTTAAAAGATTTCTTTAAATAAATAAATATCACTTTTCCCTACTAGGAAATACTTTCAACTTTTACCTTCAATTTCTAATCTAGTATGGATTAATAAATGTTTTTTGTTTTTTTGGTGAGGAAGATTTGCTCTGAACTAACATTTGTTGCCAATCTTCCTCCTTTTTTGCTTGCAGAAGATTAGCCCTGAGCTAACATCTGTACCAGTCTTCCTCCACCTTGTATGTGGGTCACCGCCACAGCGTGGCTTGACGAGTGGAGTAGGCTCACGCTTGGGATCTGAACCCACAAATCTGGGCCACCAAAGTGGAGCGTGCTGGACTTAACCACTATGCCATGGAGCCGGCCCCATTAATAAATGTTTTCAGAATAAAAAAAAATTATATTTCTTCACCATACCTCTCTGTTAATATAATTGGCTTTTCCAGTGGCTCTGCAGGAAGTTTATGATTCTCAAGAAGTCTTTTAAATAGCAGGGCTTCTTCCACTCTATATGGATTTAATAACATAACCTCTGTTTTGGATGTAATTAGCCACCCATCAGGAAACTTAAGATTGTGGATCAAGCAAAGGTTATCCTTCTCTTCTAAGTCAAATTTATGTTTCTCGAAATTTTTCTTTAAGTTTTCCATAGAAAAGGGGATCTGAACTACTTTAATGTTTTGGTCCTTTTTTTTTGCAATTTGGGACTGAAAGAGCTCATCAAGTTTTGGCTGATTAGATAATGAAGTTTTCAGCTTGTGCTTCTGTGCCACATTCCACGCACTGGTGGGTTTTATCTTGTTTCTGCCATCTTTTATTGATATTTGAGACTCCTGTTCAATGGCTCTCTTGATTTGCTTATTGTATCGCTCCAAGTCTTTAGTAGCCTTCTCTTCATATCTATGAATAAAGATAAAACGGAATTAATGAAGTGATAATCAGAAATATATTGACCATCTAAAGTAAATTTTATAAAAAATAAAGAGCTGGCATTCCAGGTCCAGTAATGACAAAAGAGCTAGTATTGGACTAACCCTCCCATATACAACTATGATAAAATCTGAGCAAACTTAGAAATAGGCAGTGACTAACAACCAAAAGCAGGCAGAAATTGGAATGGATTCAACCCTTGGAAAAAAAAAGATCCACATTTATACAGCTTTTACCCAGAGGGCAGTCCCCAACAGTAGCAGTAGTGACAGGAACTCAGAAATCTGCACTCTTAATAGCCTTAGTCATCAGAACATAGAGCTCCTTTCTTCCAAAACAACTGGAAATTAAGGGAGAAGATCCCATGTGTGGGACCCTAGAGGAAAACAACCACTAGAAAGCTAAATGAGCTAAACAGAGATTTCAGTGGCTGCCCCTTGCAGGGGAAATAGAGTTTGGAGTTTGAATTCCACATAATTAGATGGCTTGGTAAACACTTTGGGCTTTCAATTAAAACTGGAGAAGGACTACATCTTAGGGGTAAGAAAAAAACTATGTTCTAGAACTAAAGAAGCTGCCCTAGAACTAAGGGCAAACTTTAAACAGTCTTTCCCTAAGGCAGTGTAAAACAAAGCCTCCATAAATTCAAGGGGATCTGTCAATAATTTAAATGCTTAGTAGAACAAAAACCAACGCTTTTCAGAAGAAGATAATAGAATCCCGAGTTTCTACAACATATCACCTACAATGTCTGTTATATAATCAAAAGTTATCACTCAAAACAGGAAAATGTGAGTCATGGTCAAGAAAAAAAGTGGTCAGTAGAAGCCAACCTCAAGATGACTCAGATGTTGGAATTTGCAAAAAAATATTCAAAAATGGGTTTTTATAAATATTTAAGGACTTAAAGGAAAAGATGATCATAATGAGAGAATAGAAGGGGCAATCTCAACAGAGAAGGGAAATTATAAAAAAGAGGCAAATGGAAACAGAAATTCTAGAACTAAAAAATATAATATCTGACATGAGAAATTCACTGGATAGGCTTAACAGCAGATCAGAGATGGCAAAAGAAAGCATCAGTAAACTTGGAGACAGATCAATAGAAATTATCCAATCTGAACAGAGAGAAAAATCATTGAAGAAGATTGAAAAAACATCTCAGTGACCTATGGCACAACAAGCAACTTAACATCTATGTAATTGGCGTCCCAGATAAAAAAATATAGAAGTGAAGGGGAAAAAAAACCTTTGAAGAAATTATGGCTGACACTTAGCCAGTTTGGAGAAATGCAACATTTTACAGATCCACAAAGGTCAGGGAACCCCAAGCAGGATAAATGCAAAGAAATCCACAGCTAAGTATATTAGAATCAAACTGCTGAAAACCAAAGATTAAGATAAAATTCTGAAAGCAGTGAGAGAAAAAAAAGACATTACAAAAAAGGAACACCACCACAAATGATAAATATAACTTCTCATCAGAAGCAATGGAGAGCCAGATGACAGTGAATAACATCTTTTAATTGTCAAAAGAATCCAGAATTCAATTATATCCAGCAAAAATGTCCTTCAAAAATGAAGATGATATAGACATTTTCAGATAAAAGAAAGCTGAGAATCTGTTGCTAGCATAATTGCACTATTAAGGAATAACACTAGACGGAAACTTAGATCTATGGGAAGAAATGATGAGCACCGAAAATGGTAACTATGTAGGTAAATAGAAAAAATTCTCTTATTTGAAAGATAACTGTTTAAATAGAAAAATAATAACACTGTAAAGTGAGGTTTATATTTTATGTAGATATAAAATATATGACATACCAACTGCACAAAGGAAAGGGGTGGTAAGTAGAATTATACTTGCAAAGTTTTCATATTTTATGTGAAATGGTACCCTATTAACTCTAAGTAGATTATGATAAATTAAGGATGTATAATGTATTCCCCAAAGCAAAACATAACACAAAGCCAACAGAGGAATTAAAATTACAAATAAATTATATTCTTTTAACTCTAAAGAAGGCTGTCTCTCTCCCTCCCAAAAAAAGACAAACAGAGGAACAAAACAGAGATGGGACAAATAGAAAACAAATAGAAAAATGGTAGACCTGGGTTGGTAAACCCAATCATATCAGTTATTACATTACATGGATTAAATGTTCCAATCAAAACACAGACTGTCAGATTGATTTTAAAAGGCAAAATCTAGCCATATGTGTCTACAAGAGTTATACTTTAAATATAAAGACACAGATAGTTCGAAAGTAAAAGAATAGAAAAGATATACCATGCAAATGGTAATCATAAGAAAGTCAGAGTAGATATAGTAATATAGGATGAAGTACATTTCAAAACAAGAATACCATAAAGAGGGAAATTTCATAATGACAAAATGGGCCAATAGGAAGGTGTAACAATCACAAACATGTATGCACCTAATGAGAGACCTTCAAATTACATGAAGCAAAACTTACAGATCAAAAGGTAGAAATAATGAAACTAGAAATCAACTATAGGAAGAAAATCAGAAAAGCCACAAATACATGGAGATTAAACAAAATGCTACTGAACAACGACTGGGTTAATGAAGAAATCAAAGAAGAAATCAAAAAATACCTGGAGACAAATGAAAATGAAAATACGACATGCCAGAATTTATGGGAT